ACTTTCCCTCATACAAGTCATTACCTGTGTTTTGCAGAGTGGCTTCAACTGAGAACGTCTCTTTAACATGGGCAAGAATACCTTAATCTCCAGTCAGGAGATGACAACAGGCAGCAAGAAGGCAGGGCACGTTTTCTGGAGATGGCACGAGGCAACCTGCTGATTGGAAGCCACTGTGGCCAGGTTTTAACGACAATAGTAATGATTTAATGATGTGTGGGGATGCGGCAGGGAAACACAGGGAGGTGTTAAGTCTCTGTGAATGGTCCTTCTGACCACAGGAATATTTGCTTTGGTGGCTTTTTCTCTCCTCCCATTACCTTATCCACCCACCTCTGTCTTTTTGCCTGTGGGTTTTTGAGCCAGGCCAAACTGCTGGATCTAGTGCTGGATAACTAACAGTAATGGGTCACACAGCTGGGTTGTGTATGGTAAGAAGAAATGTCCTCTCTGGCTGAATGGGAAGCTGCCATCTGCTAGTTTCGTTTGCTGCCTCTTTGTTCTTGTACTGAGAGACACATGAGCAGTTATTGCCTATTGTCCCTCTCCTCTCCTCTCACCACTGAAGGGATCTGCTTTCACTCTAGTCATCTCTTTTCCGGACCAGCGTGTCTTGATACAGTTGGCTGATGAAGAAACTCTTCCTTACTTCTCACCTTCCTCCCCAGTATGTTTCTGTCCTTTTCCAGCTTTTCCACCTCCTTGCTGAGCCAGGGAGATAAAGGTTAAATATTACTCCATCGGCATTGTAAGATACGTGTGAAAAAGGAGGCTTAAAAGGAGGTGTTTGGATACGTTTAGCAAGGAGGACAGAATTGGCCAGTTGCTGGTTGTTTATCTAATGCTTCCTCTGGTTGGCTGAAAGCTCCTCAGTGAGGTAGGCAAACATTTTGACCCGGACAAGATCTTACCAGCATTACTGTCACCTTCTCCTTTGTCCAGGCCCTGATCCTTTCAGCATCTTCAGTAAAGGTCCCAGTGGTGCTATAACCATTTCCATGTTGCCTAATTTGCTGCCTGCCAAGATGTGTTTGAAAGCAGAGACACCCCCTGCCTGGGGGATGAGAAATGTATTCTTAAGAGAGCCCTTTTGAAGAAAACCTGCTCCTTTTATTTCATTCCCCTCTTTTCTGTCCTGTCCAGAATCCCGTCAGAAGGGACTGTTTCAAGGTGGCATCTGAAAACTTACTGTCACTCACTTGCCACTGGGAGGTTAACACAAGTTGTACCACGACTGCCCTGCAGACATAATCTGGAGATGTTTTCCCTATTTGTTGCTGGGGCTGGTTTCTGAATCCAGACTGATCCCATGTGCAGAAATGGCTTTGTGAGGTCCAGGTGTTAAGACAAGACAAGACCTGTCAGTGATGGCCTCTGAGGCAGAGGAACCCACTAGATCTACTCTACAACAGGACTAGGAAGACTGGAAAGTAGAAGAGACCCTTCAGAGATGATCTGACCCATGAAGTGAGGTTGCTGGAGAAACATTTGGCAGGAGAAGAGAGTTCTTGCAGGCACTTGCAACGGACCCTGGAGGCCCCACAGCAGGTAGCACTGGAGTCATTCCCCCTGCAAGCAGTTTCACGTGTGAGGGTCACAGCAGAATCCTCAAGCCCCGAAAGCAATTCAGGTCAAGCTAATACCACAGTTATTAAAGTAGCTGAACCCATCAGTTTTACAGTTAGAAAATGATTTCTCAGACATATGTGGAAGAAATGGAGCTATTTCATTTTCTGAGTTGCCTTCTGCAGAGGAAATAGCTATGGGAAGGGGGTATGCGTGTGTCTGGGGAGAGAAGCATGAAAGCTCAGCTCAGGCTGAAAAGCACTCAGGATTGTAGATGGGGGAAGGCTGGCAGGATTTTCTATCTGCTTGAAGCATTTATTAAACATTTTTTAAATATACAGGTCTGGATTTGGTATAGGAGTCAGCCCCTATTTTTGCTGGCACAGCCCAGATCTCAGAAGCTTGTGGCAACTGCAGCAAGAGCTGGTCTTGGTGCAGATGTGGCTGTCCTAAGGTAAGAAGTGGGCATTCAGGGGAGTGGCAGAAGAACAGATGAAGCAGTAATCTGTAATTTTCTACTAGGAACAATATGCTAGTGAGGTGCCCTGAGCATTTTACAGAATTATCCTTTCTTGCTGTTGGAATATTTTCTTCTTCAAAGTCATAAAATACAGCTGAAGAGCAAAAATGCTACATTAAGAATAGCCCAGACAGCAGCAAAGAGCAGATTTTTGCAACCATTTTTTCAAACCATTGTTCCTGGTCTCATTGCCCATGGGCCATCCCCATGCTTCAAGGCATGGTTGCAGTGGTGCTTTAGGTACACATACAACAACAGGCAGCTCCATAATGCCATGAGAGCTACATCACCTGTGGTTAGGAGAAGACATGGTGTGTATGCTGCTTTGGCCTTAAATCCTGTGGCATCTACCCTTCTCCATCCCCCAGTCCTGCTTCATCACCCAAATCTTCACCTAAATACTATCTCTGTACTTTCCCTTTAACTTCCACCAAATCCTGTAGGGGATCTTCTATGTATGAGAGCTTCTTCCTCTGGCTGCATGCCCAAGAAAGGATTTTAACAAATGAAGAAGATGGACAGAGGTTTTGTGCTCCCCTTCTATTCCTTGCAGCAAAACCATGCCCACTGGGGGGATCAGGCTGTTGTCTTGTTCAAGGAGAGGAACCTTCTTTCAAAGTCCTGGCAGGGCGAAGCTGCTTCTCCTCCTGGCAGCAATGGAAACACATACTAGGAGAGAAAACACTAGGGTAGGTGGCATCCAGACTTCCAGAGGTGGAGGAGAGCTGTCTGGTGCAGGGAGATATCATTCATACAACCTCTGCATCTGCATGGATATCTATCTGTTACAACCACGTGTTGTAACAGCTCTGCCAGCTTTTTTCAGTCCGTGGAGATTGCTGGGGTGGAGGAAGGGAGAAGAAGCCCCACTCTGCAGGGTACAGACGTCTTTCACTGTGGCGTACAGTGCTGCTGAGGAAGATGGACAGGAAGATGCACCGCCTGTGTCAAGACAGGAACACCCAGGTATGTTTGCACCGGTCAGTGAAACAAGGCCTGGACTTGTGTTCAGTGCTCCTCACTGTCCTTGCTGCTGCTTTGGCTCGGACACTCCCAAACAATGCTGATGCCTGGGAGTGTTCCCCATCCACAGCCTGGACATGGCCATCTGGTTCAGTGTGGGGGGAAAAGGAATGTAACCACACAGACATGAGTAGAGCTCTGCCGGATGGCCTACAAGAGGTGGAATGGTCCTGGATCCTTTGGGAAACTCTTGTAACCATCCTCACCTCCACCCCTTCAAAGTCAGGCCAAGTTCAAGCACAGCTAAGGTCCCGATTGCACCCCGGTCTCATCAGACTACCTGCACTCCTATGCCTTGGGTGCCATTTTTCCTTCACCTTTCGTTCCACTAACCCAAGGCAGCCCCAAGTTTCCAAGGAGCAACACTGGCAAAGCAGACAGTACGAGTGTCCATACATATTTAGGTGACACGTGAGTTGGAGAGGTGTGCCCCACAGTCAGCATCGCGCAGGAGCTGGGAGGTGTTTCCACCAGGGCTGTGGGGCGCAGACCCGCACCCGTGTGCGATGACACAGAAACAGCATGGGCTGCTGTGGTGCATCCTCTGGGGGGTACCCCCTGGAGCTGGCTGAGTGCCTCCCTCCCTGCCACCTCCCAGCCTGCTGGGCATCACGGGGGTCTGCAGCCACCAAAGGCAAAGGAGTCACAGAATCTTCTAGGTTGGAAGGGACCTTAAAGATCATCTTGTCCAACCACCAACCTAACTTTGACAAAAATAGACACCCACACAACAAACAAAAAGCAACACCATCACTAAACCATACCTCCCAGCACCACATCAACCTGTCTTTTGAACACCTCCAGGGATGGTGCCTCAACTACCTCCCTGGGCAGCCCATTCCAATGGCTGATAACCCTTTCAGTGAAAAAATTCTTCCTAATATCCAGCCTGAACCTCCCCTGGCGTAACTTGAGGCCATTTCCTCTCGTCCTGTCGCCTGTGACTTGAGAGAAGAGACCGACCCCCACCTCTCTACACCCTCCTTTCAGGTAGTTAAAGGAGGAGTTAAAGTTAAACTCCAGGAGTCTGGAAGCTCCATGCCCTTGCCCAGGTAAGGACAGCTTTGGTGCCTTCTGTAGATGTAAGTGTTGCCACACAGACAGCTTTAGCTCTTCTGCCACATGCCCCAGCTCTCCGGAATGCTCAGGAAACTTAAGGATAAGTTAAGGATAGTGAGAACAGGCTTGTCTGTATTGCCAATCCTGCTGGGGGGCCCCAGCAACCCCAACGATGGCGGTACCGTGCAGTGCTGGCCCAGGGCAGGTGCTGGCTGGCTGCTCGGGCAGGCAGGGATGCTCCTCCGCTGGAGCTCCTCAGCTCCAGCAAAGGGAATGGAGCTGGAAACCAAAGAGAGAGGGAGCTTGGGCCAGCAAGGGAGAAGGAGGGCCAAGGAGGATATTCATTTCTTTGATATTCTGCTCTCTGCTCCCAGTGAGAAGAATGTTTGCGAGAGTCCTTCTGCTGCGCTGGTGCAGCAGAAGTCCATGAAGGAGAAGCAGACAGTTCTCAACCTGTCTGATTGCTGCTGTGGGCACGGTTTGTACTTGCTTCATTGCTGCCTGTCTCATTGCTTCACGGTTCATTTGGCTGAACTCTTCATACAAAATAACGCGTTAGGCGAGCTGTGTGCTGGGAACGCTGCGGGAAGGCACTGCCTGTCCGGGGAAGGGATGGGCGAAGGGACTCTGCTTTCAGCATCCCTACCCACTGCCTAACAAGCAATTGTGCGTGTTTGCTTTGTCAACCCATCTGGAATAATAGTAATAATAACATAAATGATGTTTCAAGTCAAAGAAACACACCTATGCAACCAACCCTTTCTGGCCAGTGGCTGTGCCCCTGAGCCTCCTGCACTGGGTTCTCCCGCCTTGTTCCAACTCTTTGCTTTGTGTTAAACAAGGGAGAGTGAGACCAGCACGTGCCCGATGCTTCAGTTGAAAAAACTTCAGCTACAAACGAGTGGAAGAGGTATTTCCCTTCCAGACCTTCGTTTTCGGTCCCCTTTCAGCGGTATGCCGTTAAGTGGGTTAACAAGCTTAGCAAGCCGAAGGGTGGGATGCCGCTTTGTTTGGCGGGTTTTTT